GGAGGGAGGGAGAGATGGAGGGAAGCTGAACGAGAGAGACGAGGGAGACGTGGTGTGTGTTTCTGTTGGTGGCAGATGTTGTCACTGTGGAGAGGAGGAAGTAAAGGAAGTAAACATCCACATTTGCACACACATAGTTGCATCCAAGGAGCATATGGACTCATCCACAATCAGGCATAAGCACAACACACACACACACACACACACAAACACACACACTGAAATACCTCCTACATACCCGACAACAACAAATTAGTTAAAATGTGTGAAGAAAAGGGCAGAGGGACAAAGACAGTGAATGAGTTAGTGAGAGAAGCAGGTCGGGGGAAGTGAAACTTTAAAGCTAAAGTTTTTTTTCGCACCCACACAGGTAACAGGTAAATGGCATTGTCAGAGGACATAACATGCTCTCCTTTTGAATAGAGAGCTATGTTTCAGTCCAGCTCAAAATCAATGTTACAGGGGAGAGATGAAAAGAGGATGGAGGTGAACATAGGGCAGGGATGGTGGAGACTGATGAAGGCAGATTTGATAAAAGACTGGAAAGAGAGATGAAACAGTGAAGACTGTGGGACAAAGTTCAGAATGTGTGGCAAGGATGGACACTAGAGACGTGCTTTTGGTTCTTGCCTGAATTTTTCTGGCACCAGTATAAATGCAGCAGAGCATGAATTACTCATCACCAGCACTGACATCAGTGTTTCCCTGAAGGGCTGAATACACACTTTTCAGATATATATTCTCTCTGTGGGGTGACGTCAGACAGTCTGTAATTATCAGGTGTGAAGGTTCTCTTTGTTGTTGTTTTGTTGGAAAAACGTTCAGAATTAGGTATTACTCATGTCTACGTAGAACGGTCTCATTCATACTGGTAGTCTATTTTAAACTCATCTCTCCACTGGATTTCTTTCGTATTTAAACCGCAGTTAAACTGCAGTTCACATGGTTCGTTGAGGTCACCTCATGTCAGAGTTGTTACAGTCACATGAATGAAATTAGGAAGAGGTGTGAAACCTCCTGGTTGTCAGGCACTGTACGTAGCTGGTAGCCTAAAATATTTAGACTACCTGTTCAAAATGTCCCAAAGGTGAGACGCCTCAAGAATGTGATGTCTTTTCCCCACGTGATGTGAACTTAAAGATAGAGGAAGCAATGCTGGACAAAGACTGTTGGTATTTGAACTGAATAGCAGAACAAATACACCTATCCCTTCAGGGCATCCTCAGAAGCTCCTCCCCCCAAATTCAGGGATGCGCTTTGCCAAGGCAACGACACAGTGGTGGAATCAGAGCGTCTCTTTCTCAAAGCTGGAGAAAAACAAACCTTATAAGATAAAATGTCACCAAACAAACGACACAGCACCCAAACACAACAGAGTAAGACTTTGTTGTTTAGGTTGTTCTTATAGAGCAGCAGAGGAGAGGACCGTAGGTTTGTAGCTAAGCTAACAAGGAAGGTAATGTTACCTGGCAGAGCATTTCAAGCAATAATGGACCCAACCAAATAACGCCGTGCTATCAAGCTTGTGTTTTTAGGTAATTGTGGTTATAAAACCCTTTGCACGTTGTACGGACAAATACCATGGTATAGAGCAAACAATGAGACAGCAAACAGTGGCTACAGTCGCCGCTGCAAAGCTAACACGTAAAGAGGATGAGACATTTTCCCATAGCCAGCACACCAGCTTTAGACAATGATACTCACAGCTCTCCTGCTATTACAGCTAACATCACACCAACAGCAAACTAAGTAGACAGTTCTTCCATGCACTCGCCTTCACCGCTGCTCTCCCTGCCAGTCTCTTGTCTGCAATCTCCCATTCAAACCCATTCAAAATTCCACATAAACTTGTGGTGACGGAAAGGTAGACTGCGCCCGCTCCTCCCCCTGGTTATCCTTAAATTGGCACTAACCGCTCTGCCCCCTTCCCCTATCTCCCCTCCTCTCTTCTTCTTCCCTTTGTCCTTTGCACCACTACGGACACCCTCTGTTGCTGATTGGCTGGAGTAATGCTACGTGACTCAGTCCGAGCCACTTCGCTCATTTTCCATTTACAGAGCTATGGCTGTGTGGGAAACTGGATTTTTTCTTTCAGCGCACACACACAGAACAGACAGCTAGCGTACCATGAGGGGATATTCACTGAATCTGACAAAATACTCCACCTTTAACCACTCACACATGACCTCAGTGACTCCCACATGACACTTTGTGTGAATGTCTCATAGAGGTTTAAATGAGGCATGCATTTTAAGTTCATTAGTATAATAAATGTCAAATTATCATTTTAATTAATACTGCAAATATGACCTGATTAGTAAGTGGAGAAAGCTTTATTCACTTTGTGTTCTTGCCTGTCTTTCTATTTTAAATCTTTGGAGGCTTTTGTGAGCAGAGAGCTGGACACAGGCCGAGCCTCAGGATCTTTGAACTATTGCCTGAATAAAAAAAAATAAAAAAAAGTGCAGAGTGAAACGAAAAAGTGCTACTGCTGCTGCTGCTGCTTAGGATGCCACCCCTTCCATCCTCCCAACTCTCCTGCTCCCTGTGTGTTTCCCCTCCCTCACCCTTAACTTCTCACCTCCGCTTATTTGCTCAGATGACCTTCTCTCTCTCCCATGCCCCCCCCCCCCCTTTTACCTCTGCCTGGTCTAGCAGGCTGTCACGGTGATATCCCCGCTGCCGCGGTTTTGATCTCTGCCTTCAATAATGAATGAAAGGATACAATTCGTCAATCACTTCAAAACCACGAAGCCCACAATGCTCAAGGTCAGGACAGTGGCAGCTGTCAGAGGGGATGATGGCTTGCACAGACGGGTGTGTGGAAGGTGCCCCGGTACATGCACCACACGTACACGCAAAAGAGGGCGCCTGAGCTTGGGTAAAGGACAGGCAGGCAAAAATTAGACAAAACGGAGGCTGAGAAACAAAGGAGGCCCTCCCTTATGATCTGAGGTCCTCGACTGAAGAGGTTAGAAGTGATATAGATATTAAAACAACAGGACAATGAACTTAGTCTTAGCAGAAAGTGTGAGAGCCGGAGCAGTGAAGTGAGAGGCTAACAGAGAAAGAGGGGGAAGCAGGGCAATTGTGATATTTTCTCTGAAGTATGCTTCCTGAGGTCCATAAAGACTCACGTATTTGTGTGTGTGTATCTGTGTGTGATGAGTGTGTCGAGGAGATGGAGCCCTGGAGTCATGTTGTCAGACTATCACATGTATGAATTCAGTCTTGTTTGTGAAATCTCTCAATATCCGCGTGGATTTGTGTGTGTGTGCGTGTGTGTTTGTGAAGCCCAGTGGCTGAGATGCCAAAGTGGTGTGGTGATCGTGTCCAACATGTTCAGGAACAAATTGATATTGCCCCCAATCACCACTACATGATGGTACAAGTGGCATGCAGAACCACTCCACTGTGTCCTTTTCTATTGTCCTTTTCCGAATGTGTCTATGAATGCAACCCTGACTGAGTGGACTGATAAAGTGTGTGTGTGTAAATATAAGTTTCTTTCCTACAAACGGGGTGACTGTTTTTAATGAGGAGCTGTAACGAGGGGATGTAAAATCCTCAGGAAAAGGTAGAGAGAGAGGGGAGGGGAGTCTGGGGGATAAAAAGAAAGTGCAGAGAGTACAACAGAGGAATAATTATTGTCTGTATGTGTTTGCGTGTCATTCAAAAGTATCGGGGTGTTTTCACAGTCACTTGTGTGCACAACTTTCTTCAGAGAGAGAGAGAGAGGAGGCTGCCATATCAGCGGGGGGTATTTATTTCACTCCCTCCCTACTCTCCCATTCACCTCCTCTCTCCTCCTGTCTGCCTGTCTGCTCATCAGGAGATAGAAGCTGACAGTTGTTTGTGTGTGTGCGCGCTTCAGTGTGTGTGTGTCCTAGCAGATGTGCCCGGCGGCGTGGCCCACCTCTTAAATGTCACTGATCACAGTCTCTTCCACCTGATTACCGAGCCCCCTCCCCCAGTTCTCCCTCCACCACCCTGCATATCATCTCTCTGTCTCCCACTCCTCTTCTGCAGCCCTTCTAGCCCATTTATTACCCCTGTACCTCCCCCATCCATGGACCTGCACTCCCATGACCCCATGCATTCACAACATAATTCCACAAGACATGTAAGGTTGAGAGGGAACACACACACACACACACACACACACACACACACACATGCACACAAACATACACTAATGCTTGCAATAACAAAATTTGCTTTGCTGCTGCACTAAAGCAGGTTTTTGCACATAAAAATCTGTTAAAAATCTTGTTCAGTTAAAGCACAACATATTAAAGCTTGACATTTCAACTAGATGTCCACTACACAATATAGTATGGATGCACACACGCACAGACATAAACACACATAGTTAGACTGACATTATTAAATGCCAGAAGAAGAAGAAAGCAATAAACTGGCATTTTAAAACAACTGCTCAATGACACTTTTGGTTAACATCCCAGTTTTGCTTAGGTTAAGAGAATTACACACTGGCCCGTCAGTAAATGAGCACAGGTCAAATTGGCAAACGGCCAAAGTCAATATAATCAAGTATTAATTATGCACATTTGTTTCTTTTCACTTGCTACTGTACCTGAACCCAGAGTGTGAACCCAGACTGAAAAAGCTACGATTTGAACTCAACCTGTTTATCAAATGTGTTTCTTCTTGACAACCTTTCGTTGTAGAGGTTGTTTAAGAATCTACTATAACTCTCAGCACATTATGCTATCACTGTCTTTGACACAAAGCCACAAAGACACTCGCAAGCAAAGTCAAGCATGTTGACGTTGAACTCTGTGTTCAAGCCCAGACTGTTCGCCTCGGCTTTTATGTACCAGTACACGTTTGTGTGTGCATGAGTTTGTGTGTGCATGAGTTTGTGATGGCGTAGGCAACATGTCTCCTGGTCTGGCATCTGCCAATCAGCATGTCAGGATTAGTCATTCATCTGTCAGCTCTTCACAGACAGCTGTCAGTCAACGCTTGTGGAAACCATGATTGGAGCAGGCAAGGAAGGCGTTTTGGAGGAGGCAGCAGTGATTGGCGGTCAGAGCAGGAAGAGAGGTTAGCGCGGTGTTATCCGGTCTTTAGTGAGAGGCGCTTTGTTCTTGTTGGCAGTCTGACATTCAGTAGTCAATTAAAGCAGCTGCCAACTTGAAAAGCCACGAATTAAACTCCTGATCAAAGTTCCACACTCACATCCCGTCTGCCCCACCCACCGACCCGCTCCATCTAACAACGGGTGAAGTAGAGGATACATTTTGGTTTTTACTGCTGTTTTCTGCCTAGGAGCAGTACTTGTAGTCCAGCTCCCTGTGGACTTCCTTGTCTCACAGTTCAGCTGAGGCCTGTTGGGATCAGTGGCCGAGCTGCGGCCTTGTGGGTTTGCATCAGAGCCACTTTGATTTCATCATCAACGAGGCAGCACTTGTTTTTCTGCTTAACTGTCATCTTCTTTGGTCAGTAGATTGCTTCAGTTAGTTTTCTTTAATTGACGTGTTTGTGTGTGTGTGTGTGTGAGTGTGTGTGTGTGTGTGTGTGTGTGTGTGTGTGTGTGTGTGTGTGTGTGTGTGTCAAATAGACAGAGAGGGAGCTGGCTATCAGTTGTTTGTTCAGGGACACTCATTGGGATTATTGGGCTGATTTGGGAACCACCACTGATTTGACCAAGACAAACTGGTTCTGTCAGAGGATAGTCTGTCATAAAACACTATATGAACTCTGGAGCAGTTTTTGCCTGCTGTTTTCCTCCTGTTCGTACTTTAGAGATCCATTCCTATTGTGGTTCTGGTGTAAGACACAGACACACTTCCTTCCCTGTAAAAATACATTCCAAAGTTCAGCTGAAGTTAATACGAGGCTTCGACTGTGGCTATATTTTAAAATTAGTTTTTTTGTCAGTACCTCTTTATGTTACTACCCCTCAAGTGGGACTAAGCACGAAAACTGTAACTTTTATTTTACTAACCCAGAGTGCTGAAGCATTATATTAGCGCCAGAGAAACTTTGGAATATATACAGCACTATGTAAAGGTTTTAGGCACTTGAGTTTCAGTCTGTTACATGACTACAACCCTGAACATACAGCCAGCCATAAGTCTGGGATCACATGAAGAGACAGAAGAGATTGAGACAGACTAAATCCCCAGAAGAACTGTGCCAAAGTCTCCAGGATGCTTGGAACAACCTACCTGCCAAGTACCTGGAAAAACTGTGAGCAAGTGTATCTTGGAGAATTGGTGCTGAATACTGACTTTATTTAGGACTTTTTCTGTTTGTGGCACTCTGTACGAAGCTAATGGATAAACAAAAATGATTCACGGCAGTATTTTTGAGAGCATCCTCACTTAACATTTAGTGCCTGAAACATTTGTACAGTAGTGTATATGAAGGACTGTGAATTTTTATCCCCTATCACTTACACTGGAATTGCGTTAGAAAGGGATCCTTTAATGACCAGTATGAGAAGGAGACAGGAGGAATGATTACAACAAGCAAAAAAATGTTATGTATATATGTGTCAAAGATAAAATCTTCAATCAACAGTGTGTGGGGTTTAATGAGACGTATTGTTTGGCTTTTGATCCAGTTGCTGCCTGTTGTTTTCATTAAGATGATTTTCCACGTCTGGAATTGTTTAAAACTTTCAACATCACTTAACAGGAGAAAGGTGAGAATGATTTTAAGAGGAAGAAGAGTGAAATACCACATGCCATGAAACAGAATTATTTTATAATCCAGGTCATCAGCTTTCAGGTCAGAGCCAGAGCTCACCTGAAATTCACCTCACTCTCGTGAAGTTCACTCACCTCCAGCTCTCCCTGCAGGGTTCATAGTTCTTCTTGCCAATGTCTTTCAGTCCACCATTTCAGCCCAATATTGCATTTTTCCTAGTTCTTAGTCTTTTCTGTGCAAATTCCAGCATAAATCACCATGACAAACGGTTATTGATGGTTTTCTGTTTTGATCCGGGAACATTCCCATGTGGAATTTGAGGTTGCCTAATGAAGTGGCTCTAATACTCTAGCACTTATCCAGTTTTTTTTTTTTTTAATCCCTGTTCTTTCTCAGTAATGCCGTATGTCCTCTTCTCCTGTCCCAAAAACTATGTTTTCTACTCTGTATATCTATTCTGGTGCAAATAGTAATTCTTAGTTTTCTTAGGTTGCAGTAACCCTAGCTTTAAATCAACAGCATCAGTGACAGTTTTTAACAATTTTAGTATGTTTTCACCTGACCTGTGTGAACTCTTCGATTGTGAAGTAAAATCTCGTTTTTCAGCGCCTTCACTTTATATTGTTCAATTAATTTGCATTTTTTTTTTTTTTGTCACTTCTCATTTTCTGACTAGTAGCAACACGCCAAGAAAACTCAACTCATAATTCTTCCTTTCGGCTAACACATTGTCAGTCCAATTAAGTGTTTTTAAATGCCTGTTGAAACAAGCGCAGACAGACTTATTAGATTAAAAAGGAGTAGAACTCATTTGCACCCCATAATCAAATAGACTGCTGTTACCGCTGTAAAAAAACGCTTAGCCATGCAACTTTTGCTCGCTTATTCATAGAAAAATGACTTGTTATAAAAGAGACTGATGTAGTTATTTTCTCCCCTTCAACCTCATGCATCGAAAAAGGCAATATGAAGGGTGAATGTGTGTGTGTGTGGGAGAGAGTGAGACACAGAGACAGAGAGACAGGCTATCAGTAAATCAGTATTCATAGACTAGCGCCAGTTTTGCCAGGCCTGTCTCGCAGTAGGAGTTCAGCTCTATGAAGATAAAGTGATTTTTCTGGAGTGAGTGACCCTAATTCTGACCTGACACACACATATACACTCAAACTGTACACACACATACACACAGTCGTATCCAATAATTAAGCAGGCACTGCAGGAGTGAGAGCTCAACTTTAGTTTCATTCCAATACTCACTCTCTCTCAGTGTCTGAAATGCATTTACACAACAGGGTTTTCTACACACATATATATATATGTATATGTATATATGAATGCAAACTGTAGCATCTAAAGGGTTTTTTTACCACCAAATACTCACTGGACAAATTCAAAACTTCCGACACAGCAATCAACACCTTTACCCATGCTGTTGCCCCATGACCTCATGTTGAGCCAGGGGAAAATTTCACTCCTCACCACAACTGTTGCAGTAAGATTTAGGATTAATTTTAGGATGTTTAATGCAGCACAATGTAAGAATAATGATCTTTACTGGCCCATTTGTAAAGGACAAGTCATTTAGGGCCTAATTTCCACTCGCTGTAAAAGTGCAGAGAGACAGAGGAAGACGAAGAGGAGAGGAGAGAGAGGGCGGGATGATGGTGGACTGTCAGCCCCCCGGAGCAGTGACCCTGATCCTCTTCTCCTCCCGTCCTTTCATCCTGCTCTCCTCCCTCTCTCCTCTATCACAGCGCTCATCTCTCGGCAAATTGAATTCCTCCCCAGAATCTGCCTAAGCAGCTTCATAAGATCGACCTGAGAGCGGAGACGTGCACATGTTGCAGCAGGAAAAAGTGTGTATTTACGTGCGCACATGTGCACATCTGCCTCTTGACTCTTCCTTTACATTTAGAGGCCAATCTCTCTGTTAGGCAACAATCTTCCCAAAGGGACGAAAAAGAGGAGACCTTGAGCTGCCACAGACTTTGACAGAGACCGAGGGGCGAAGAGAAGGAGGGCAGAACGAAGCAAACAGACAGACAGGTGGCTGGACTGTTCAGCTTTTGAGAAAGAAAGACAGGTTAGGAAAACGGAAGACTGTGGGGGAGAGAGAGAGAGAGAGAGACACGTTGACACTGAGTGACAGAGAGACAGACAGCAAGGAAGAAAGAGACAGATGACATCAGTGAATGAAACATGCTGTTAGCTGACCTTGTTCCTCTCAGACGTGATGTTCTCTATCTCCATCTGTACCTCCTAATGGACTCTCTTTAAAGTGGAAGGAAGGGATTAAAGGGCCATAAGGAGTGGAGTCGGGGGGGGGGACAAAACATGCAGCCTTACACAATATGAAGTTTGAAGGAAGTGGTGCATAAGTGAAATGGTTAAAAGGAGATCAAGGCAGGTACAAAATGTCCACGTGTGTACGGTACGGACACCAGCATTTCTAATTGAGGGTCATATCTGGTAAGTTGTTCAGACTGGTTCTCTGCTGCTTTCTCTCTCTCTCTCTCACACACACACACACACACACACACACACACACAGGCAGGCAGAGGTGAGTTATAGTGCTGGTCAGCAGTATGACATTGGAGTCTGCATTGCCAGCCATCGTCTGTAGAAACGGAATATTCCAAATAAATCCTTATGCTCCCATGCACACTCTCTCTCTCTCTCTCTCTCTCTCTCGTCTCTCTCTCTCCTCTCTTGCTCTCTCTCTCTCTCTCTCTCTCTCTCACTCACTCTCTCTCACTCTCACTCACACACACACAGTTGCATATAAATCTATTGTAGATGGAACACTTCCCTCTTGTGCATGGAGCAGGCAGCTATCAATCTAGAAGAGAGCGGGAGAGGGTGAAACTGTGGAAAGTAGAGAACAAGAAGGGGAGAAAAAGGTGGCCCTGAGACATCCACAGGGACTAAGGAATAGGATAGGAAAGGGAGACAATGGAGACGAAGTAAAAGGGCTGGAGGGAAGACAGAACTGAAAAAGTTGAAACGGCAGGGAGGAGAGAAGATTAAGTTGACAGGAGAAGGAGAGAGAGAAAGAGAGAATGTAAAACTCTGCCTTAGAGTTATGGACCTGTCCATACATACTGTAGCAAGCAGATAAGCCTGCCCCCTTTAACCTAGTTTGTGTGTGTGTGTGTGTGTGTGTGTGTGTGTGTTTGTGTGTTTGTGTGCTTGCTAGCGTGCGTGCGTGCGTGCGTGCATGTATGTGTGTGTGTGTGTGTGTGTATGTAAATGGCTGATGGCTTGAATAAATCTCATTGTCTGCAACCCCCTCTCACCCTCACTCATACCATCACCTCCACCCTACACCCCATGGACAGATGCTGATCTTTGTTTGGTGTGTCCAGGCCCTCTATGGCTCTATGTTGTGTTGTGGTGAGCCAGGTCTGAACACCTGAGCCAAGAGTTAAAGACTGGATGCCATTGTTCAGACAGCAGCTGTAGCAGCTGCAGAGCCAGAATAAATGTACTGTGAGTGATAAGGCTTAATGTCCTGATAGAGGAAAGATGAGATTGCAGAATTGTAGATTACAGCTAAAGGTGTGTCAAACTTCAGTGAGCATCTTCTCCATCATCACGTCTGTAGTTTCTTCTTCTGTAGCTTCTGAACAATAGGATGTCCAAGCTCATGTCAAAACATCTGGATTAAAGGTGACTGTGAACTTGTGTTTAACCTTTGTCTTTATGCAAAGCATCATGTGCGACAGACATTGGCGTTTGCTGCACTTTAAGTGATGCCAGCAACACATTGCAGATGCTATGTGCACACAAAAGAAATAGTCGAGTTGCAGCGTGTCGTTCCGGTGAGAAAATGTAATAGAATTGCTCTTTTTCTGGACTGCTGCTGCACATCAATGCTGGAAAACAGGACGTGTTGAAGCAGTGATGCACATCGCCATGCGCGTGCTGCTGGTGCGTGGGCTTACATCAAAAGCAATAGGCATGAGTGTTTTGACATGCATCATATGCTGTATCTGTGCTCCTAAGGGTACACCTTCATTCTAAGGTATAATTTTAAACAGCAAAATAAATGATCACATTGTTTACCATCAAACATTGCATACCTAAGACAGTGATTTGCAGTTACTGTGGTTATGAGTGTCCATCTCTATTTCAAAATAAAAAAAAGGTGGAAGAATGATAACTCAGAACAGGAGGCGGAGGAAGAGGAGAAACTTCTCTTTATGTCTTTATGACCACAGTCTGCAGGAGGAGTAGTTGAAGAATGATTTAATAGACCCCACTAATGGAGTGAGGATCTCCAGATGGAGACCTGGTGAATCCTACAGATGTGTATCATTCAGATTTTGGTCCACACAGTCACATTGTCATCGTGTCTCTGGGTCCTGGCAACTACTGAAGTTATAAATGAGAGAGAGAGTTTAAGGTGAAAAGGTCAGAGTTTTGGCTGCAGAAGAAGAAATGCGTGTAAAGAAACACAGAACATACAGTAGCATTTCTTTTTATTGCTGCTTTGATACTAGATGTGAAATTAGTTTTCATATCTGCCTTGACATTTGTTAGATGGCACCTGCCAACATTATTATAGAATTTCCAGAGTCCAATTGAAACTGTATACAATAAAATGAAGATACATTGGTATGCCAGAGTTTTATTTATTTATTTGTTTATTTTGTAAAGAATAGAACATGAATTTAATGATTTTTTTATTGTGGTGGATGAATGCAGTTGTGCAATTTGCTAAGTTGTTCAAAAATGACTAATGCAGACTTTTTCAAATAACAAAAATAACATATTTTCCTTTCTATGTCTCTGTCTGTCAGAGGTGGCTCCTTACCTGCGCGGGGGTGGACCAGGGCAGCAGGTGATGTTGGAGGGAAACAGGCTGGTGCTGACCTGCCTGGCTGGAGGCAGCTGGCCTCTGCAGTACCGTTGGACTCTCAACAACAGCAACATCACCGACTGGACACCACAGTACAGGTCAGCTAGCACCGACTGGATGTGTCTGACTTTTTGTCATGCATCCCTCTGTTATCTCGAAGTGCATGTCTGTTCCTGTTTGTCTATCTGGCATCCTTTCTTCTGAGCCATTGCTGTAGCATGGAAAAACAGCTGCAGCATAGGAGCTGTGCCCATTAGTGATGCAGTGTGTTCAGAGAAGGTCAGAACATTTAGACAGTGGAACATGAAAATAATATGGTGGAAAGTGAACGGTGGAAAGTGAGATTTATAATTACATTAGCACTATAAATATGTATATAGTCCGGGGAAAGAAGAGCAGAAGCAATCAATATGTCTGAGCTTCTGTCTCCGCTTTCCTCTCTGTACCTCGCTGCTTCCCTTCCTCTGCCCCTCTCCTCCCGTCCGTGTGTGTTGGTTGGTAAGAGCTAAGCAATCCCTCTCGGCAAGACTGCAGCTGTGAAACAAAATTGTTTTTCACATCATTCAGAAATAGAGGGAATCTTGGGAGCGAATGTGCACTGAGGGAGGGAGAGGTTGAGCCAGCATTTTGTAGGCAGTCGTTGTTCGAGCCAGGAGGCGTTGTGTCGCTCTGGACTGCTCTCAGCGTTCTGGCTACTTTAGTTTGGTGAGGCCAGGGCTATGCTGAATTGGCAGACTCTGTGTGTGTGTGTGTGTGTGTGTGTGTGTGTGTGTGTATGTGTACGCATGTGTGTGTGAATGCTCGTGACCATCTGCAATTGTAGCCAGATTTTTGTGTTTTACTTGCATAACTTCCCCTTTCAATAATTTTCTTTACTGTTAGTTGATTGTAAGCAGAGTAACTACATAGAGCGGCTTGTCTGCTAATCGCAGGGTTGGTGGTTCAGCCCCTGCTCCTCCTGTTTGCATCAAAGTGTCCTTGAGCAAAACACTAAACCTCAGTTGGTCCTAACTGTTTAGCTGATGCCTTGAATAGTAACTCACGGCCACAGGTGTGTGAGAATGTAAATGTGACATACACTGGAAAGAAACTGAATAAAAGCGCTTTATAAATGTCCTCCATTCCATTCACACATATTCAAAAATTCTGGTCCACACAAAATCACACAAATTTCGTCTAATTCCACATCTTCTCTGTAGAATCGGATTTTATTTTATTTTTATTTACCTTTTATGTTATTTCATATACTGGACAATGAAAAGTTCAGTTGTACATTGCTGTAAGTACAAATCTTTAATGATTAGTTGATTAATCGATTACTCGATTGACAGAATTTTGTTGCTGTTATTTTAAATAATAATGCCAAGTATTTGCTGTACAGTCGTATATCTGCTAAACTGTGAGGATTTGATGCATTTCTTTGTCCCACATAAAGTGAATATTTTTGTGTTTCGGACTGTTGGTCAGTCAAAACAAGACATCTGAACACGTTACACTGGGCTGTTGAAAATTTTAACAGGGATTTTTCACTATTTCCTTTCATCTTATGGAAAATCAAGAAATTAATCAGATTAATTGCTAATGAAAATAACAGTTAGTTACAGCCCTGAGGATTTACATGAATGGAAACTTCAGCAAAGTTTCCTTCTTCAGCATCAGTTGAGCAGCAGCAGTCTAGTCACTAAGACAAGTTAAATTTAAGAAACACGACGGTAATATTTGCTTTGTTTTCAGGAACACTGTTGACAAGGCTGCTGAAGTATCTTCACCATTTATAGCTGACAAATAAAGTTATTTTACACAAAGAACACTTTCTCTAGTAAATCCCTTTGTTAATTAAATGCTACCTAAATCTAGCAACCTGCTCCACCTCCTTCCTTTTTCAATGCAAACACAACACATTGGTGGAAATAAAATACAACTCCTTTTTAATTCCTGGGAAATAGACAATGACTCGTTGGATACTTTGATCATATATCCACATTTTTTTAAGTCTAGGGCTGAAATATTAATCGAAATATTATCAAAATCGCAATTTGGCTAAGTGCAATATCCAAATTGCAGGAGCTGCTATTTGTTTGATAAAGGTAAAATGTGTCACAACAGACATAAAGGAACATATTTATTTGGTACAAGACCTGACAAAAATCACATCATCATCATTTCTATATTTTCTTTCAGTGCAAAATTGATCATTCCAACTGAAATTGTCACTCATATTGCAATCACAATATCTGCCAAAATGATCACAATATTTTAATAATAGTCTATTTCATTCTATTACATATGAAGCAGTACATTTATTGTGAAATGACGTTTTCCTCTGAAAGGACTAGATGTATTGTTGTGATGTGTGAACAGATTGATGCAAAAGGGAAGGGTTGGTGAATATGTGGTGAAGCTGTCGTACTGTAAAACCTGACTGAAGTTGTTCTTGTCTTGAATCACATAGGGAATTTGACTTCACACACGGGGCTGAGACTGTGTCAGAGAAATTGACTGAGAAATTATGGTATTGATTGGGACCTGTCAACACTGAACTTTGTGTTTAGTGAGACATAAAGGAAAAAAAAAACTTGTGGGGATTTCAAAAAATATAGTGACAGCCCCACCACACACACCTATTATAAAACGTAATGGAACACAGGCAGAGAGAGAGAGAGATGCAGTGTCCAATATCAAAATCTGTTTCAGGATGAGAGCGTCTGTGTAATGTGTCATTCCTGATTCAAATGGAATTGCGTGTTTGAGTCTTTGATGTATGTGTGTGTGTGTATTAGAGTGTGGGTTTGTGTATGTTGGCAGCATGCACTGACAGCCTGGGAGTTAAATACTTGGCTGTCCTGGTATTCATAATGAGCCCCAAAGCGATGTCCAGTTTTACTGTGTCTATCCGGTTTGTGTGTAATATCTGTGTGTGTGTGTGTGAGTGAGTGTGTGTGCGTTTGTGTGTTTGCCTAGCGTGGCACCAACCTAGATCCTATGCCAAGCTTCCCATTAGTGAAGCACAGTCCATTAAAGCCCCATTAACAACCCCTCTTAGAACAAAAAAAAAAACATGCACACAGTCAAAAACATTCTCATACACAGCACACACACACACACACACACACACACACACACACACACACACACACACACACACACATATACTGTACACATGCCCCTCTCCGCCTTACCTTCTGTTATTGAGGAACTTTGACAACCTGAGGCTGAATCCATTCTCAGATCAAGGTCATGAAAGGGAATTGCACAAGAGAGCATACATATGGACAAGCAGACCTGCACTTTCTTTCCTTTCTGTCTTGCTGGTCTCCAAACATCACTCCCATGCCCCCTACCCCATTTTTATTGGGTTTATTTACAGCTCTGAGATAAAACGCACCTTCATGACTGTCCTCTCTCTATGTGTCCGTCCATCTCTAGGTTGTCTGTCCCGTCTCTGAAGAGGACTGATGCTGGCCTGTATCAGTGCATGGTGAGGAACAGGATGGGAGCAGTAATACACAGGAGAACAGAGGTGCAAGTGGCCTGTGAGTACACATCAACACACACACACACACACACACACTGGTAAAAAGTGTACACACCATTATAATAAGACCAGTACATGAGCTGTTTTAATGACTAAGGGTGCTGTCTATGAGGAAAACTTAACCATGGGCACACTAACAAGCAGCTTCTCCTTTGAAGTCAAGCAAAAATCACAATCAGTCATCCCTTTTTTTAGTCAAAAATAGTGTCAAAATTCATTTGGTAATATTTTATTATTATTAAAAGGAGGGGAAAGAAAGGGTCTTCACAATGAATTAGAAATTCTCCTTTCAGATCACGAGTCGCGTGGCATTTTACGAGTCACATGCCCCCCTGGTTTTTGTGTCAAGCGGCACGGCAAAACAAATATATTTACAAATTCACATTTCCCTGGAAAAATTCTAAGTTGACTTACAAATGATGATGTACAAGTTGCAAATTAGTGGCACAGATACTGATACAGATTTACAAATACTGAACACATCATCTGAGCTGTTGACCAAGCCAATTTGACAGTGCAGACATTAGAGGGAAAAGAGACGTGGAGGAAGCTATCTCAGCTTATTGAGAGCAGAAATCCTGACACCATCTCCGGTCCAATGCTCTAGCCACTAGCTTCTGTAACTGTGCAATCTCTAATTCGGTATTCCTTCCATCTCTCTTCCATGTTCCTGGGGTTTACTTTCCATAATCTAAGGCATAAAAGAAACTACAGCTCCCATGAAAGTGTGTGGATAAAGCAGTGTGGATACTTTAGATTATTGTAACTTTAGCTTTTTTTCATGTCTTTAAGATCCACCGGTGCTTTTCTTAAGTCATGTTTCCAGGTAATCCCATCTCTTTGTCCGGCTGCGAAGCTGTGACATTTAGTCTGCAAAGGGTCTCGGACTGATGGAAAATTGTGTCTAATAAAAGCTGAAAAAAAGAAAAAGAATAGTCATATTATAAAAACTAAAATATTAGATTGTCTTTAAAAATATCTAAGCATATGAAGTGAGCCACACAACTTGTTGAGAAAGGCTCTGTTCCAAAGCTGTATCTTTGGCTAAAAGCGCTGTTACAAATGTCAGTGCGACCTTGAACTGGGGCGTCTCGCTTCTGGAACAGACGCTGGAAGTTAAGGTTGTTACACCATTCACTTTTATTAAACCTTGTCTGTCCAAGTATAAACTGCTCCACAAAAGAGGAATGGTTTGCAGACAGTTATGAGGAGTCGATGGTCTTTTGATGTCTTTTGAATAAATAGTTTGAACTTATTGTATCCGTTAGCGACCAAGCTTTTCCTCTCTTCAATAAAAGTCATAATTGAATGGAATGATATTCAATCTTGAGAATAAATTGCCAGCTGACAGTGAACGGCAGAGTGAGGAGAAAATACATAGATGCTCAGAGAACCTCTCTTACAGAGTACAGCTGGCATTCTCTTGCCTGGCTAGCGCGTTAGCATTTAGTTTTAGTCATCTACAGTATTAGTATTATTACCAACAAACCAACCAACCAGCAAGTTTAATGCTGCTTTTTTTTAGCTAAATGTAACTTTCGGCATTCATACTCACGCTCTTTTTTTCCTCTCCCTCTTCCCCAGTTTTGGGGAACTTTTCCACCGAGGAGCAGAGAAAGACTGTGACTCAGGGCCGAGCAGCCATCATCAGCCCGCCTCCTCTCGCTTCTTCCCCCCGACCCTTAGTCACATGGTTCAAAGACGGACAGAAGATCATCCCCAACAACCGAATGTAGGTGTCTCTTTCATTCTCTGTTCCTGTCTCTCTCCAGCACACGCTCACATGTATATAGGGACTTCTGCAGCAGGAACAAAGCGTGTGTAAAAAATTAAAAAAAAACCACAGATTGAGATAAAATTTAATTTTACCGTTCTTATCCCTCAGTGGTTTATTAATTAACGTGCTCTAGAAGCACAAAAGTTCTTTTTAATCCTTGCACACCAATTGTTATGAATAATAAGCCACTTAGATAACTGACCCTTTTCATTAGACATCTGTAAAATAGACTTAGAACATTATCGAGACAAGATAAAACGGATTTTTCAATGAATCACACCTGCAAGGTTATTAAGTAATTTTAGGTGTACGAGAAATGTTCTTTATGTTAATTGTTCAGCAGAGATATGAGAGTCCCTGGATGTGTTGTGTAAGCTGTATTTCACAGCCTTTTGTTTAATGCTGTTGTCTGGCTCCTTTTGAAATGCCTGTAATTTGCATATTATTCCTTAGCTGCTACAGCTTTCCTGTCAGTATTGTTATTTAGAAAAATGTTCAAACTGTGTATTAATAATGTAATTATTCAGACAAAGCAGGGGACTGTGGGTTTGTTGTGAAAGCTTTTCAGAATAGTTCACTATAGATTATCTTAAATTGTTTCAGAATATATACCTGTTTGAGTCTACTCATCAGTGAAAGTAGGTGTTGAGATACAGACCTTCAGCGGTTTCATTAGGCTGCTCTGACACTCTGAGATAACTAACTCCCCATTAAGAGCACTCACCCACTGCTCTCCAATGTGTTATTGAATGAAATTGTCAGTGGCCTTGGTGTACACATAAATGGCCAGACAGCAACTTTTTCACTCCTTTAATGGCAGTCAAAAGGGCTTTTGAGAAAGCTTTGTGGAGTCAGGTTACATAAGCAGTGTTTTTTTTTTTTTTTCTTTTGGCTAGACCGGCCACGTGCCAGCACTACACTTGCAAATGTCCATGAATGAGTGAGTGATGAAGTCACACCATTGGTTGGCTGGCTGAGAGTTGGACTTTCCCACTGGCCGTTGCTCTTTCAATGTGATTCAACGCGAACAGGTTCTATTATGCAGTTTCTATTACTATCATCAGCGACCGCCTGTGGTGGATCTACAACAGTTTTCAACTACTGTATTTCCTCAAATAGCCTTCATTTAACTCAACTGCAGAAGGTAACAGGTGAATTTGAGGCAGGCTTGTATTAGAGGCCAAAGAGGCCTTTATTTCTAATTCCATCTGTTTGATATATAAAATCGGTCATACCGAGTATGATGCCTTGATCCACTCCCATTTTCCCTGTTAAAGTTCTAAGTAACCATTTCAAATTAAACGCACTCTAGTGTTTCAGTGGACAGAAACTTTTTATTTCTTAACACGGTTTTATTGCTGTGCTGACATGCTACAGTATGCATATTCTCTCAATTCCAGTTGTTGGTGTTTGAGATTTTTCTGACCGGCCCACCAACATGGTGGCCCACTGGGATTTCTGTGGGGCTCCTGATGGCCAGTTCGACTATAGTGCAAACAACATTCAACTCAGGGATGCACTTTCACTGTCAGCATTTATTTACTAATAGATATTGAAGTTTATAAAAAAGTGTTTTGGCACACATACTTATAGGGGGATTTAATTCTGGCATGTTAAATTAGCATTTAACCTTTTATTTTGTCGTGTATGATCACATCCCCCATGAGGAAAAGACAAGGCATCAAGAAAGAAATTCCGCCCTGTCCAGCCTTATACGAGGTTTTTACCTTGTCTTGTTATTTTTGTCATTAGTTCCCATCAATTTTGACTTTGCTTTTTAATTTGAATGAACATGGAAAAGGGCTCTCCTGTTAACTTAATGGGGCTTCATTGAGTGTGGTTTAATGACAGTGGACTGCAATTATTTTGCTGCTGAAGACTCAGCCTGCATTGAAGGTGTTTACTGTTAGAGCATCACCACTACACTGCATTAGCCTCCTTAAACTGTACTCCCTGCTGCTATCCATTAAAAACAGAAAACAGGGAGTCCTTTGTTCTACTTACTTTTCCTGATTGTTTCACGACAACAGCCTATTTACATATTTTAATAAGCATACAGTATATCCTGTAGATGAATGTGACAAAAGAAGCTTTCAAAACCGGCGAGATAAAGTCTGCAAAAGATTGAATGTTACCCCCGTCACCCTCACCCCTTCTCAATGTCACACACCACAAATAAGAGCAGCACTGGCAATTAAAAACAAATATATAAATAGATAAATACGTAATTGACATTATGCTACCAAAGTGAACCAGGAAACTCTTCCTGTCACATCCATCCTTTAATGGACACTTCCATCCATATCAAAGTAGTTTACTTCGCCCAGGTCCTTTTGTAACGTCCAAGGGCCACTAATAAGTCCAAGTGAGAGTCCAGTTGCTCTGAGCTGCTACAGAGGCTGGAGACTTGGGGTATGGTTGAAAATAATTAGTTTTATCACATGAAAAGGTTTATAAACGTTTGTAGTTATTACAAAAGGTCACACTTGATGATAGGGTGAAAAGCTAGCTGCCACAGAGAGGAGCAAACACCATCGTCATTTGAACACGGGGATAACGGTGCACATTTTTCTGGACGGTAGATTGTGTTCGACCATCCGACAAACACTTTTGTTGGAATATACTGGCACCTTGCCAAGACCGGTACCTAGTCTTGCTTTAAGACTGACATGGGCCTGTGGTTCATAATTCTTGCTAGAGTTATTCTGTATATATATTATCATACATATTATTCGTCTATTTAAAATTGAGCCTGACAGGAATGGAATTCTCACAAGAGGCTGTAGATCCTTGTTCATATGAGCATAAAGGACAAACTACCACGAAATGTCTTATATCTATTTGCCAGGACCAACTTCAACTTTGACTTCAGCTTTACCACAAAGTTTGTTACACAAGCAAAAAGCAGTATGATTATGTTAAGCGGTAGGGATCTGTTCTGGAAGCTGCACATCCAGAACCGAAAATGACAGGAGTCAGCAGACAGATGAGTTGTCACGTAATTATGGCAAAAGAGCAAAACATATGGAATTAATAGTGAAAGCATAAAAGATAATGAATGTTGAGTTGACGCTGAAGTAGCTGCAGAGATTGCAGAGTAAGCACTGATGTAACAGTTGCTGCAGTAGGTTAGCGCAGCATTTAAAACACAATATGATTTGACAGTGAGCAATCGGCTGTCACAGTTTGGCAGGTGCACTCAGCTGAGCAGTCAGCTGAAAGGTTTGGCCTTCTGATCACAACACAGATGACACTGTGGCCTGTACTGGAGCCAGTACATGTAACTAATGTAGTTACATTGGCTCCATTTCTCTTTGCCCGTCATCTTGATTAAGATGAAGAGTCCATGCATTTTATTAGGATAACTCATTAAATTGATGTATTCCATCAGCTATTTATTGCAATCAGAGTCAGTTTCTACTGAATACTTGACTGCCTCTACTAAAGTCGTGAGAAATTAACACATGTTCATGAAATACAATCTCGGTGACATTCTGGGAATAGAAAGTAGAGGTGCTATTTCACACAGCACAGGTCTTACCCTTTCATGCAGGAGACATTTCGTTTGGACCATATGCAAATTTTATGCAGAGAGACGGAGACATGTCGCCCCTAATATTTGATATAAATCATTTGTCCACCTCGTCTTTAAGTCTGTGCAGTGTCCGTGACAATGGGACACAGACAGAGAAAGATTCAGCAGTCAGTATTTCACATGTTACACCACTCTGACAAACAGCTGGTACAGCTATACATCAGATCATTAAATTAATCAGCAAGAAAATTTCACTCTGACAATCAATGTTCCAGCTAAAACCTTTGACAGTTGAATACAGGCTCAGAGTTTGGGTAGAAACAACACACTACTGTATAACTGGATGTCATTTCTGGTGCTAGCAACATAATTTCAGACAGCAAACCAGTGAGTTGCCACAGCACATGAAAGTTGTTTTTACCAAACAAAGCCTGATGGCTGCAGATTGTCTGTTGATTTGTCTTAAATATGAATTAATTATATCTTGTTTTCAACATTAGTATTTTATCTGATTTATGTTGAAAATGGAAAATAGAATCTGAACCTCTCTGATCATAACAATTTTCATTTGTTCTTGTAATTATGCTTTTTTTTGTTCCTTTTAGAGTATCTGCAGTTTAATGTTCCTTTAGTTAGACTAGACTCATCGGGGGCTGATAAAACCAAACCTCCAAAGTAAGAAACAGACTGAATCAACTTAATGAGTAGTCAGTTATGATTATTAATTAACCTTTAACAAAAGATCTATCCAAAGACTACTAAATGCACACCACACAGCAGTTGTAAATCGAAAACATGTTCACACTGTCTAGATAACTTTACAATGGCAGTACTCAGCTGCTGATGACCATTTTGAACCATTTGACATCAAGTCTGTGCAGAAAAAAGGGAGAAAATAAAAAGTTAACAGAAGTTTATGAGAAGCCTTTGCTCCCTATTGATTTCTTAAATCCTATTACAAAGCGGGATACACTCTTCAGCACAGTGACATTGGCAAATTGTTTGGGCTGAGGCGACCTGATTGGTGTGCAACTTTTGAGCAGCGAGTTTGTCTAAAATTCAAGGCTGTCGCACCAATAACCTGTATCCATGGCAACAAGATAAAAATGACAGCTGGTTCTGTCAATTTTGGTGTCTGGTTATGGTAATATATTTTGTGATAGAAGAAGTAATTTCAATGATACTGTTAGGTAGATAAAACGTAGGGAGTAACATTTCATTCTCATAATGACAGATTTTTGTTTTTACCTTTTTTTTCTTTTTCTGCTCTTCAAAAAAAAAAAAAAACAGAGAGAGAGCGAGAGAGACACCTGTACAGTGTCTTAAAAAAGTGAATGTCACTACCTCATTTTCAGGTATTAATACAATCTGGAGAAAAAAAAATTATCTCTGCATTGTGAGATGAAATATTCTGATTTGC